TAGTTGTAAAGTGTCTACTTCAGGTTCAAATGGAATTATAACCAGTTCTGAATATTGTTCAACTCATTTAGGACTGAAAGCAGTTTTATTTGATAACAAAAATACATGTTTTTAGGGGCACCTGGGTGGCTCAGTGGTTGAGCATCTGTCTTCGGCTCAGGTCATGATCCCAGGGTCCTGGGATCAAGGCCTGCATCAGGTTCCCTGCAAGGAGCTTGCTTCTCCCTCTGCCTATGTATCTGCTTCTCTCATGAATAAATAAATGGATTTTTTTTTAAAAAAATGCATGTTTTTACATTTTAACCATTTAAGATTTTTCCCTCTGGCTGACCTGCAATGCCATGACCAAAAGAAGGATCCACATAATCTTCATTTTTTTTCCATATTCATCCATTGTAAATAGCAGAACTTGTTAAATTATTGTTAAATAGAGTAGATTAGCCAGATGTTACATAAGTTTTGCTTGTTATTGCACAATGCTTTCATTTGCTTCTATTTGGAAAGAGGCCTCCCAACAACATCCCTAAAGACTTTTGGAATATTCAGTACACACACATACACACAAATCTTTTATTCTGATTCATTTCCCTCCTTGAATTTTTCTCCCAGTTCCAGCTCTGTCCAAAGCATTTTTACTCCTAAAAGTGCTCTCTCTGTTCCTTCCTGAAACTTTGCCGAGAGGAAGATTAGTTATCTAATAATGTCCCAGTTGAGCCACTTATTACGGTATTCTAATATGATTGCTCATATACATGTCTCTCACCAGTCAGCAACTTGAATGGAGTTGTTCGTAATACAAACTTAGGCCTTAGGTAAGACTTAAGGATTTTGGTAGAATGGGACAGAAGCAAAGAACTATCAGGACTAAGGTACCAAGAAGAAATATAATAGAATCAGTTCAGGTCCTTGTTTGGTGAGGCAAGTCACATTCACATGTGTTCTATCATTATCTGAGATTGATCACAGGTATCTTGTCTGAATTGGAATAGGACCCTCAGTAACAATGGAAAAATAGTGCATATGTCCTTTTAAAAAGCTATGATAGAGAGTTACGGCTTCTTTCAAGTAAGCTGATATTCAAAAAATGGTATCAGCCTCAGAACAGAAACCAAAGTACAAAGCAAGAAACCAAGAGAGCAAATACTTCAGAGGTTTAAAAATAGGCTCTCTATGGTTGACAGGAGCCAAATGAACAGCAGCAAGAGTAATCCCAAATTCTAATTTCTTCTTACAGGATCCCTGTTCCATGAAATAACTAAGTAGTTACCAGTCTGGATGGATGGATGGTTGAGTAAGTTTAATACATACATACAAAACTGGAAAAAATACACAAAATTGTTAACAGCAATTATCTGTGTTATAGAACTATGAAATAATTTTTTCACCATTATTTTTTCCATCTTTCACAATTTTTTTATGGAAATATGTCATGTTTTTATAATCAGAAAAAGATGATTAAAGCGTGTGTGTGTGTGTGTGTGTGTGTGTGTATACTATCTTTTTCTTTTGACTATACCAGTAATTCTCAATCAGGGGTAATTTGTCCCCCAGTCAGCATTTGGCAATGTCTGGAGATGTATTTGGTGGTCACAACTGTGGAGTGTGCTACTGGCATCTAGTTAGAAGATAGGAATGTTTCTGACCACCCTATGGGACTGCTTCTAAAATTCATATGTATTAGAAGCTATGCTCTCTGTCTCAGAATTACCCAAGTAAAAAATGATGTTCTGTTCTGACAGATATTAGAAAATATTGTGTTTCTTATTTACCTTTATGTTTTATATGTTGACTAGTATAGGTCTTTGTGTATAACAAATATATATTGGGTTGAATTGAATTAAAAGTATATAGCTCTTCTGGACACAACTAATATAGATATAAAGATGCATAATAAATTTCAGAAAAAGTAATTAAACAATACATTTCTTTGACCCATCTAGAATCAAAACTTGATTGAATTCAACAAGAGATCAGTGGACATCTTCTGGGTATCTATCACTTAAGTTCCAGGTGTTCTGCAGAGTATAAAAGTAACATCAAATGTACCCTCTGACCTTGAAGACCTCTCAATCTAACCAAAGAAAAAGAACATATCCTAAGAACACCATTTTGTTCCATAGCAAAACAGTGCATGGTTGTGTGCCAAAATGAGTAACTAATTAGTGCAGTAAGACTTTAAGGAGGAGAAAAAATCATTATGTCTGGAATTGTCAGAGATGGCTTCCTGGCAAATTAGAGAATTGAGCTGATGCTTACCAGACCGATGGACAGAATTTCCATATGACCAGCAATGAGGAAAAGGTATTGTAAGGCAGAGAAAATAGCATGAATAAAACTAAGAAGATAGGATTTATCAAGAACGGGTTCACAGGGAGAGCAAAGGCTACCATGGCTGAAGCAGGTAATAGATCTGAACTGCTAGGAAATGGCCAGATTACAGTGAGAATCAAATGAGTATCAGTAGGAATGGCCTGTAAAATATCTAAACCTATGAATGGGATAAAATATACCCTCTCCAAAGTTTGGAACTTTTGTTTTCAGTCTTTATCACACTTAGAGTGGTTACTTAACCTAAAACGATTTAGCATCATCTTCCCACACGTACAGACCTTTGTACTATATAAAGCAACAATCTGACCTACATAGTGTACCTAATATTCCATAAAAGTGACCATTAGCAAAGGAAACCAAATTTAGCTGCAGCCCCATGTAGCCTTTTCCCTCCTTATGACTACAAAGATAGCAAGAGTCCTCATTTCAGAAGAGAAGAGCTCTAATTAAGGAATTATTTTAATTACTTCAGCTAATATCCTAATATTACATATTTATCAAGAGAATGAAATAACAAGTATTCTTTTTGGTCAAGGAATCTTGCAGAAGACAGAAATAAAGAATTAATGATAAGAATCAGTAGACTTAAAAAAAATCATTAGACTTAACTTACATATATGTTGGGCCAGTAATTAAATCCAAGAAGGAATAGATCATTGCTTCCCAAAAATCTGCAAAAAAAATAAAAACAAACAAAAACTTATCTTATACCTAAATGTAATTTGCCTAACCTTTCTACTTGCTAGGATAAACTTATCTTTTCTGACTGAGAACTCAAGAGAGAACTTTGGAGGATAATAGGCTTTATAATTAGGATAAGAAGAACTCCAATGCAATAATTAATGATTAATAAAAATTCTCAATATAGGTGTACTCATGTGTCTTTAAAATCAAATATTAGTATTAGGCATATTTAAACCCATAAATACTATAGTCTAACTATAAAGCAAGAATTCTTAGATGCTCATAAAACACGTTTCAGAATTGTTAACTTACCCAAAAAAACTTTGTTGGTTAGGAATAGATGCAGCTGCATGTAATAACTGTACTTCCAGTGGCTTAGACAAATGGAGATTTGACTCTCTCTAAAGAGACTTAGAGAAGATGGTAGACTGTGGCTCTTATTGGTGGCTCCATGATGCCATTTAGGGCAAAGCTCCTTCTGGTTTTCTAATAACCATCTTAAGGTGACCATCAGTTACATTACCCAGAAATATGTCACATAAGTCACCTCTGGTTGAAAGGTAAGCTGAGAAATAATTTTTAATTGTGCCATCGCAGTCCCAAATAAAAGTAACAAAGAATGGGAAAAATTATGTAGGCTTATTAGCAACCCTATCAACAACACAAGATCAGTAGTTATAGTAAGACTCCATCCATCATGTTTGTTAAAGCATTACTAAGTGAAATGCTACAATATTCAGGTGCCGCACAAAGTCCATTTTCCGAGTTTTCTTGAACTAGGTCATTTTATGCCTTCAAGCCACATTTTTGTCTAATGGATTTCTTGGAGAAGAGCCCAAACACAGCTTGTATCCATTCATAGAAAAGGTTTGTGCGTAGTATCGTTTTGCCGACAAGGGCAAGAGTGATCTTTGAAATTTTCACTCACTCAGAAAGTTACCAATTGATATATTGTGGCTGGTAATTGACAGAACTAATTCAGGGAAGTGAAAACAAGGGAATTGAAGGTATGGTATGATATCTTTACCTTCCCAGTGGCTTTCAACTTTTGCTGATAAGGAAGCAAGTGGTACTATCTTAAGAGCTGTTAAGTTCCTGGAGGGAGGGGGGCATGGTGGGAGGCGGGGGAACAGTTCAGTATCTAACTGTATTTGGTACATAGCAAGTGCTCAAGTAATATTTGTTGAATGAAGCTTTTTCTTCTTTACCCTTATTAAAGAGTGCACAGAAGTTGATCAAAAAGAAGCATTCCCCATCCACTTTAATGAAGCAACTGTTAGCATCCATACTGCGTGAATAAAAGCTCTGTGAGGAGCCCAAAGGAAATGCTTGCTGTGATCTGTCACCCTGAAGGTTTTGCCCTTTTATGTGACCTGGCAGGTTTTTTTCCAATTCACATCTAATGTTAATTAATCAAATCTATAGGAACTGGTTTCTAAGCCATTCGGCCACCAAGCAGATTATGAACATTGTAAAATCGATGTAAAGTGATTTTTAAGTGTTTAAAATCATCTTATGATTTCCTAAAGCAGTATGTAAGTCAGCTTCAAATGGAGGTTAGGGATTATCAGTCAATGCTTCAGTTGATCAAGCATTCAATTGGTGTCGAGGGTCATTTGGAGATGCATGAATGACACCCCCTGCCATTCGCGATTCGTGACTCATTTAGGGAGACAACATGTGGGCAGGGTGAGAAAATAACATAATAATGTTAATTGCATTTATGACTTGTTGAATCAATAAGACAGATAACACATGTTTTGTTTTACCCAGAATACCAATGAATTTGGACTTTGCCGAAGTGGGCACAGGAACTAAATATATCCCGTTGTGTAACTCAAATTTTGAGACCCTGGTAGGAGGATCATAGCATTTTGCAGACTGGAGTTTAAAGCACTGCTTAGCATAGATAATCTATAAAGAATTCACTTGAACCATAGGAGGAAATAAAAACAATTGTTCTTTTTCTTTTTTTAAAAAACTAGGTCATGGAACTAAAGGAGTATTTGAGCTTCTGTCTGGATGGCGGAGAACAAGAGAGAATTTGCCCTTCAAAGACAGGGTGGCAGATGCCTATTCTGATGTGATGGTCACCTATACCATGACCAGCTCCTTGTACTTCATTACCTTTGGCATGGGTGCCAGCCCATTCACAAACATAGAGGCTGTGAAGGTCTTCTGTCAGAACATGTGTGTCTCCATTCTGTTGAACTACTTCTACATTTTCTCATTCTTTGGCTCCTGTCTGGTCTTTGCTGGCCAACTCGAGCAAAACCGCTACCATAGCATCTTTTGCTGTAAGATTCCCTCTGCAGAATACCTGGACCGCAAACCAGTGTGGTTCCAGACAGTGATGAGTGATGGGCATCAACAGACATCCCATCATGAGACGAACCCCTACCAGCACCATTTCATTCAGCACTTCCTCCGCGAACATTACAATGAATGGATTACCAATATCTACGTGAAGCCATTTGTTGTCATCCTCTATCTCATATATGCCTCCTTCTCCTTCATGGGGTGCTTGCAGATCAGTGACAGAGCCAACATCATCAATCTACTAGCCAGTGATTCCCCGAGCGTTTCCTATGCCATGGTTCAGCAGAAATATTTCAGCAACTACAGCCCAGTGATAGGATTCTACATCTACGAGCCCCTGGAGTACTGGAACAGCAGCGTCCAGGAGGATCTGCGGAGACTCTGTAGTGGGTTCACTGCAGTGTCATGGGTGGAGCAGTATTACCAGTTCCTGAAAGTTAGCAACATCAGTGCCAATAACAAGAGTGACTTTATTAGTGTCCTACAAAGTTCATTTTTAAAAAAGCCAGAATTCCAGCATTTTCGAAACGATATCATCTTCTCCAAGGCAGGGGATGAAAACAACATTATTGCTTCTCGCTTGTATCTGGTGGCCAGGACTAGCAGAGACAAGCAGAAGGAAGTCATAGAAGTGTTGGAAAAATTGAGGCCCCTGTCCCTATCAAAGAGCATCCGATTCATCGTGTTCAACCCCTCCTTTGTGTTCATGGATCACTATGGCTTGTCTGTCACAGTGCCTGTTCTGATTGCAGGCTTTGGTGTTCTCCTGGTGTTAATCCTGACTTTTTTCCTAGTGATCCACCCTCTGGGAAACTTCTGGCTAATTCTTAGCGTCACCTCAATTGAGCTGGGCGTTCTGGGCTTAATGACATTATGGAACGTCGACATGGATTGCATTTCTATCTTGTGCCTTATCTACACTTTAAATTTTGCCATTGACCACTGTGCACCACTGCTTTACACATTTGTATTAGCAACTGAGCACACCCGAACACAATGTATAAAAAGCTCCCTACAAGAGCATGGGACAGCCATTTTGCAAAATGTTACTTCTTTTCTTATTGGGTTGGTCCCCCTCCTATTTGTGCCTTCGAACCTGACCTTCACACTGTTCAAATGCTTGCTGCTCACTGGGGGTTGCACACTTCTGCACTGTTTTGTTATCTTACCTGTGTTCCTAACCTTTTTCCCCCCTTCCAAAAAGCACCACAAGAAAAAGAAACGCGCCAAACGAAAGGAGAGAGAGGAAATTGAATGCATAGAAATTCAAGAGAACCCTGATCATGTCACCACAGTCTGAAGGGTGTAGACAAATGGATTTTTTTTCTTTTCCAGTATTGCACAATGATGCAGGGAGAGTAAAGCTCAGACCTCAGCTGCTTGGGCTGGCCAGGGGTAACAAGGAAAGTCAGATCAAGAGTGAATTGTTCATGACACATCAAGGTGTCCACTTCTTGGGGGGAAGACAGAATCAAGGAAGAGGGAAATGTTCTTTGCAACCTTGTTCTCCACTAAAGATAAGTTTGTGGATGTGATCTTGGAGCCCTTCCAAGGAATGGACAAACCAATGGGGTGTTAGAAGGCCAAAAGCTCTAATTGCTTTCAAAAATAGAATGCTTAAGAAAAATGAAGAGGAGAGGAAAGGAGGCCTGTAAATAGGGAAGATGATAGGAAATGTCAAAATTGCCATGGCACTTCTCTTATTTGTGTTTTGAACAGGTTGGTCAAAGGAAACCTATGCACTTGGGAAGTACATATTTAATCCCGTCTAAACCAAAGGACTTCCCAATCCATTTTACATGTACATATATATGTATATATGCTATATATACATATACCTAGACTTGTCTTTAGTGTACATTGATGTTTGTGTGGAAGAAAGTGTCCATTTGCAGATGGGCTGGCCTTTCTCTAAAAAGTCAAATCAGCCTTAGCCAAATATAGATACATTAATGGCAATTCAAAGTCAACTCATGTTTCAACAGCAAGGGTTTTAGTCAACTGTGTGAAAAGAAGAAAAACAGAGATGTGAGCCTATTCAATTCTACATATGATGTCAGTCTTTGAGATTCCAGCTTGGATGACTTTAGTAAAAAAACACAAAAGACATTTAAATCAATCACCGCATGGACAAGTGTTAAAATTTCATGTTGGAGCTAAATAGTTGATAAGGCTTTTCATCGGCATTGAATGATTCTCTATATTTGGGAAGGCTGATTTGGCTGCCTTCAGAGAGCTTACCCACTGAAAATGAGCATTTTATACATATTGTCCATACATGTGTGTAATCGTGCATGTGTGTACGTGTGTGTGTGTGAAAGACAGCTGGGAAATACCATAGTTATAGTGCTCTCATTTTAGATGATGAAAATATACTGCCATGGAATACAGATAATTAATGTAGGAGAAAGGAGATCTAACTAGGAGGCGTCATAGAATGAAACAGAATAAATGTATCATCACCAGTCATCATGCACCACCAACTAGTTCTTAGCATAAGGAAAATATCCTAATCCTATAAAGTCTAGTGTGCTCCTTGCATTAATATTTGGCACATTGATCAGGCCATGATCACTATAGTAGTGGTTACTTTAACTACTGCAATATTGTTTTGTAGCTTCTTGCAATATCATTGTTCTTGTGACCTGGAAAGTGTTCCTCGGTTGGCCATCACGTAGGGTGTTCGTAGCTCTCCAAGGTGGCATATTAACTGTAACTGCTGCTGAATTCTCTCCTAAAAAGTACCGAAGTAAATGTTTTCATTGAGTTAACATGTCAAACTGCTCCCCAGCAGATAGATTTAGTCTGTTGGGTGCTTACATGGATTAATATTAATGCTGTGCTTCCTGTCACAGAAAATTACTAGAAAATGCCTTTTCCCATGCCAAGCAGTAAAATAAGTTAATTTTCAGGTAGGACTGAACAAATGTCCAGTGACTATAAAATCTTTTAGTAGCCTCTCTTACCTGGAAGAGAGCTACTGTTTCCCATCAACTTTGGTTGTATATTTTAATTGAATCTAAAATATTAAAATCTGAGGAGTGGGGGAAGAAAAGGAAAAACCTCCTGGACTCAGGTTCAGAAAAGAGATACAGACCATTTAATTCTGATTGCAGTCTTTGGAAATGAAGTCAATAGATTAATGAAGTAACAAAATGACAAAACAAATGTACTTTCTGAATAAGGAGTTTATCAGGATATTAAGGGAAAGAACTGCCCCTAAAATGAAAACCATTTAACCAAATTTTATTTTAGTAAATGAAGTTTGCTTTGTCCTACCTTGAGGTTACTAAGTTTCTATTAGAATGATTCATGTCTTCTCAATTGCATTCATGTGGGCAGAGTATCAATAGATCAAGTATGGAAAACAATTGCAATAAGCATAGTTATTGTTCTCACATCATTTGTTAAGTTCATGTCACAGATAACCCTAGCCTTTTGCCTCCTGAATGGCTCTGCTAGAATGAAATGGTATTTGACACTAGTAGACCTGCAGACCATGATCTCATATCTGAAGTAGAAATTTCTGGAGAGTTGGGTTTTGGGGAGAGGGAGGAGGATTCTTCTTTCATAGTTTACTCACCACTTGTGAAGATTTGCCTTTCATCCCTTTCGAAAGATGGCCATAATCAGCTGAGACATTTTATTAACTATTACTCCATTTCTTCCTGAGGTATGCCATTCTCCATTCATTTACCAAGCTATAAAAAGCTTGCCTATTAGGGTCATTTATTTCTTGATTAATTTAGACAATGCCACACTCAAGGAAGACTGGCAGGCTGATTTATAAAGAAAGAATCAAGCATGCCAGTTGCCAAATGCATATGAGCATGGTGGCATAGTTTGCCAAACCACCAGGGAAGTTCCAATATCATATCTCCATCTAGACAGTCTCCGGATGAGGGAAAACAGTTCTTTTTTTGCTTATGACTTCAAGGATCAAAGTGAGTATGGTAAATGTGAATTTCCCATTGTTCGAGTGACTAGAGGGGTGGAATTTTGGAAGGGACGTTCTTTTCCAGGACACCATGGTACTCTTTAGTGAACTGGAGCAATAATTTATTGAAATGGAATTTCTTGTTCTGGAAGAGTTAATCTATCACCCAAAATGCCCCTGCTCAGTCTCAGGAAATAATTTAAGCCTGTAAGGAATCTAAATGAGCATCATCTGACCTCCCAACCTCACTGTGCAACAGATATTTCCAAAAATTCCAGTTACTGAATGCCAAGATACATTTTAACATATGAGATCATGATTTGCAGGTAATGCCCAACCTCTGCCTTTTCTGGTAGCTTGTGTACAACTCTCCCTACTTTTTCAAGTTTACTGCCATAATTTTGTCCATTTGTGAAATATGATGATGTTCAAATTGAGAACATACCTACTGCTGGAAGATGACCAATCAGCTCCTGGAAGAAAAGAACCCATGGGAAGTATCTCATATATGTAGAATATTGTATTTTGCTGAAATGTGTTTTTCTCTTAAAGCAAGAGATTTTAAAAGTTTGTAAAAAAAAAAAAACCACCTTTTCTGAATTTAAACTGCAATGTGGATTTGTTTTCCTCCATCAGAATATAAATTTGAAGTAGGAAGTGGCATAAGAACTCCATTCTCCACGATGGTTAATAAGCTCCAAAAAGGTACTCACCTAAAATATGGAAAGATTTGGTTAACCCCCATGCCTAACATTTTTAATGAAAGGTATGCTTAAGTATAATCTCTTGTATTTTTCCATGGGAAGTGAACCTCTCTGACAGTTGTGTATGAATATTCTAGGAAAGAATTATTCTTCACCAAGGTTGTATCATGTGTTCCTTTCCCATTTGGTCCCTATTTATTTCCACATAATTTGGGTTTTACCTTGTGAGGGTAGAAGAATTCGGACAAATGAAGCTCCTACAATACTAGAATAGCCATTCTTGAATGTTGAATTTGAGGTGGTGAGAGCTTTGTCCATTTTGTAATTACCCATGCACTTTCCCATAATAATCCTCTAATCCTTCCAGGTTCATGGTTAGAGCTAGGGATTAACTATTGCCATTCAGAATTACATGTATTTTTATAAGTTGACTGTAAGTACCATAATTACAGTCACATATTTTTATAACCAAATAGTTATGAATGCCTGGCACTATGCATGCATTGTTACTAATAGTACATAGATTTTTAAAAACACTATTTTCATGATTATTGCAACTTTTATTAAAATTCTCATATCAGCTATTCAAAAATGCTTTGTAGGTTTTGTCCCAAAGGCCTAAAGTTCACAGAAAGTTTCATCCCAAGGGGAACAACTTAAAAATTGCCTTTCCTGGGTGTCAACGGTAGCAACCTCTTCTAGAATGTCCTCTGGAAAATCCTAGAGGCTAAATCTGGCTTCCAGGTAAACGACATAGCAGATCCTGTGTTAGTCAGTAATTACTCATACTTTAATGTCTTATGTTTGCTGATCTCATGGTGAACCAGAAAATACAACACCTTGAGACTGGAATTTAGATCTTTTCTCCTGTGAGTTGGAGAACTCAATGATTTTGCTCAAATTCTTTCTAGAGGGATCTCTCTGTTCTTTTGGTGTCTGCCAATGGTATTGATAATCCTTTCAAATGTGAACCCGAAAACTGTCATTTTTTTCCAAAAGAAGCACTTTTATTCCCTTCAAAAACAAAAAAAAGAAACAAAAATTATGTCTTTCTGTGTGTTACAAAATAATTTTGTGACAAATTTTATGACATTGACTCAAAACCTGTCTATAGCTGAATTGATATGCCCTTGGAATCTCCCCATTTGAATTGAAAATAAGATTCAGCATCATCACTGCAGTACAGGGATTTACAATAACCCTTTTAAGCAATGATCTGCCAATATATTGTATAGGGGAAATGAGCTAATTTTTTTCTTACTAGACTGTCTTCAAAATCATGATTCTAAATGTATTTATCCAAATGAAAGCTGCAAGATCATAAATGAAAGCAACAAAGACTCTGTGCATCAGGTCTACCATGGGAAGAACTATCTGTAGGTTTAATAGCAGGAAATTTCTTTGATTTCTAAACTAAATGGGAAGGTCAGGCCCACCATCATGTTTTAGTTAGAAGGGGAAGAGGTGGTGCTCTGTGTTTAAAGTTTTGTGTAGTTGGGTCAGGTAACATTTGAAATAAGTTTGAAGGAATCCTGAGAAATGAGCCCACATGCCTAGAAATCAAGGTGTCTATAAGTAGATGTGATAGAATAGGTGGGGAAATTCCACATATTTTAGAATTTAGGATATAGCACAGAGAATTGCATGGTGCCTCAACAC